CAGGAACTAGTAAAGAAGTTGGCACACTAGTTCGCCACCAGCTACCATTGTAAGGTCCACCACCAATTTGTTCAAAATATGATATGGTCCATCACAGTCATTAATGGACTATATCGCCCGCTTCAACAAGGCCACCATCAGGTTTGTCTCTCCAAACCAAAGTATGTTTGTGGGGGCGTTCAAGAATGGACTTAAGGCCCACTTCAACGAATCCCTCACCCATAAATCATATTTGTCATTGACGAAAGTGGTCACTAGAGTTGAGTGCGACATAAATGGCGAGGAACCCTCCTCCCTAACCTCTAAGGTGACTGAAGGTTAAAGATATAGAATATGTACCCTTGAAGGAGGTAGCATAACTACCATTAGTTTTTTATTTAATGTTGTTTGATTGTTTTAGTTTTATGGGTGAAGATCTTTGTCTCCCCCCAGGGAAACATTTCCTCTGTTGGACTTGATAACGAAGATCCTTACCACCTCCCAAGGAAACATTTCCTCTGTTGGACTTCATAGAGAAGTTCCTTGTCGCCCATCAAGGCCATATTCCCTCAGTTGGACTTCATATTGAAGATCCTTGCCACCCGTCAGAGCAACGTCTCTTATTATGCGCTTCATAAAGAAGATCATTATCTCCCCTCACGGTATTATCTTTTATATTGGACTTCAGAGAGAAGAAGATTTGTGTCACCCCTCAAGGAAACATATCTTAGTTTACACTTCAAGGTAAAGATCCTAGTCTAACTATAGTTGGACGTGAGTAAACTTAACTCTTGCATGAGGGAATTGGTGTTCCCTCGGGCGGGAAATAACTCAAGAATCACACATAAGAGGCACGACATACATGTCTTGAGATACATGATAACAATTCGTGCCTGAGAGATCGATGGAAGTCCCGCTCAAGTAGGAAAAATTCCTTGCCAACTCTTAATCTCATCAGCCAAACTATGTAAAATAATGCCTAAAGGACTTAGATCCTCAAGGATGACTTAAATCTTGTTTGAGGGACTTGGTGTGCCCTCGGGAGGGACATAAATCAAGAATCACGCCCAAGATGCGCGATAAATATCTAACTTGAGAAATTTGATAACAAGTTTTTCCTAGGAGCTCGATGAAAGTCCAACCCAAGTATGCAAAATGCCTCGATGATGGACTCTTAGTCTCATCACCCGAGCTATATACAATTATTCCTAAAGGACATAGATATGTGAGGCTAACTTAACTCTAGGGTATACATAATTCTGCCTAGAAGACTTAAATTCTCTAGGCTATTAATATTCTTGTCTGGGGACTTGGTGTCTCCTCGGGTGGGACATAACTCAAGGGACATGAATAAGAGGTGTGACAAATATCCAGCTCGAGAGACTTGATAACAAGTTTTTCCTGAGGGCTCGATTGAAGTTCCACCCAAATAGGTAAAATGATCGGCAAAATAGCAAGTGTACTAATTTACCTCTTGTAATAATAGGGAAAATTTCCTAAATGTCGATCTCAAAGACTACACAGAAGTATCGAGTTCAATTTGTGGTTCAATTAAACAAAAAACTTAATTTGGCATTTTGTTTGTTTATTGTTACTGTAAAATAAACAGAAATATAAATTGACTTTTTCACAGATATGAGTAACATGCTAGGGTAAAGTGTATAACTTTCCCTGTAATGACTTTGAATCCTGATATTTTCAAAAATTTCATAATACCAATTACCAGCTCTTTAGGTTATTTTCCCCTAAGTCCCTAGTGGGAAAACCTTTGAACATCCATCCTAAATCCTAATCCTTAGAGAGGTATGATGAATTCAAGCCTTTATTTTATCAAGAGTTAACCGATAACTATAGGGTATCCATAGTCCTAGGTGATATCTACTATAGTCTAATCGTACAAAACCTTAACAACCGTGATCTAATTGGTTGTTAATCGTAAGTCAATCCTAATTGGTCGGATCAGGAAATCATAAAAACATTGCACGATTAAATTGAATAATAAAAACCATGGAATTGATAAAATCAGAAATTCAAAGTCATTACAGATTCAAATCAGGGACATCCCCTAGTATTGAGGGGGTTTAGATACTCATATTATTCAAAGAAAACAAAAGATAAATTGTAAACATTAGAAGTATTGGGAAGAAATTTGATCTTCAATCCAGTCCGTTCATGAAAATCTCCTTCCTCCGAAACCCCTGTCTTCTCCAATCTTCTCTCATGTAATTCTTCGCTGGAAAAAAGTCTTATAAACCAAATAAGGGTTTTCACTATTAACTCAAACTGGGTCGGAAATCTAAACCAGGCCCGTAAAACAACCCGAAACACTTAATTTCTAAAGTATGCAACTTCAATTAATTTTTCGAGGCTTCAACACTCTGAATCAACTTCTAACTTCAACATGAAAGTTGTAGCTCTTTCTCTCAGCTTTCCAAAGAATATCAGAACGCGTCAATTCGATTCTCGTAGCTCTAGTTATCAATTATTTAGTGAAAACTATTAATGATAGATCAATCAGTGCATTGTCTGACACGGGCAGTGTCAGCTGACACAACAGTCGTTTCAGACCTTGTGGAGCATGCTGAAAACTTTTTTGAAACTCTGAATTTTGCACTTTTTCGCACTGATTTGTCACAATTTATTCATGTGAGCCTAAAACAGTAAAACACACAACCAACGCATAAAATATGGTAAAATAAAATAAAACACTCGACAATCAAAAGAAAAGATAACTGAAATCAATGGTAAATAATTGTGTAAAAACCACTAGCCATAAAATGCCCCGCCTAAGGGACTTATAGTCTCATTAGTTTGGCTATATATATTAATCTACCTAGAATACTTAGATTTTACAAGCTAATTAAACTCTCGTCTGAGGAGCTTGGTTCCCACTTGAGCGAGACATAACTCATATATCACGCCCATGAGGTACGATAGACATCCATCTTAAGAGACATGATAAGAAGTTTTGCATGAGAGCTTAATGAAAGTCTCACCGAAGTAGGAAAAATGCCTCTCCAACTCTTAATCTCATCAGCCAGGCTATATACAATTCTACATGAAGGAGTGAGATCCTTAGGGCTAAATTGACTCTCATTTAAGGAACTTGATGTCCCATTGGGAGAGACATAACTCAAGAATCACACCCAAGTGCCACGATAGATATCCATCCAGAGAGATGTGATAATAAGTCTTGCCTAAGAGCTTGATGGAAGTCCTACCCAAGTAGGCAAAACACTTTTCCTAAAGGACTCTTAGTCTCATCAGTAGGGATATGTACAGTTCTTCTTAAAGGAATTATATCCTTAGGGCTAACTTGACTCTCTCCTACGAGAATTATACTCTCGTTAGTCGGGCTATACATAATTATGCTTGGAAGACTTAAATTCTCTAGGCTAATTAAATTCTCACCTAAGGGACTAAGTTTCTCCATGGGCAGGACATAACTCTAGGGTCACGTCAAAGAGGCACGATAGATATCCATCCTGAGAGTCTTGATAACAAGTCTTGTTTGAGGGATCGATATAAAACCTGTCCAAATACATAAAATGCATCAATTGAAGGACTTATAGTCTCATCAATCGGGCTATACATAACTCTTCTTGGAAGACTTAGATTCTCCGAACTAATTAAACTCTCGTCTGAGGGACCTGGTGTCTCCTCGGGCGGGATATAGCTCAAGAATCACGCCCATGTGGCACGATAGGCATCCACCCTAAGAGACGTGATAACAAGTATTGCCTAAGAGCTTGATGGAATTCCCACCCAAGTAGGCAAAACGCCTCGCTGAGCTATATACAATTCTGCCTGAAGGACTTAGATGCTCAGTGTAACACCTTAGAAAATAAATGAAGTCTCCGCCATTATTTGTTTGTCCTTAGGAAGGAAAACCTAATGGGAAAACCCTAAAGTCAAGGATAAGATTGTCGTTGTAACTAAGTTAAGGGTTCAGAAGTCAATTAAGTAAGGGGAAGGTGTTAGGCACCCTTCACCTCCCTTGTACTCAAGGGGAACCTTCTCTAATTTTAGGGTATGGTGCGTTTACTAAAGTTTGTTATCTGTCTAATGCTTAAATTTATTTCATCTAGTATTTACAAAAAAATATATTCTAATTATTGCTCACCAGGTTTCTCCCTCTGCCTACATATCATCGGAAGAGCAAAGAGGAATCAGAGTATCGTAGTTTATATGTGTTTGGTTGTGTTTTTTTTATGGAACATAATGAGGTCACCTTTGAAAAATAAACTTATTCCTGTAACGTGCTCACAAAGAGGCTTAGGCTAGTTTCTAATTCGCGTTTAAGGGATCCACTAATTCTTTTTTGAAAATATTCTTTGTATTTGAATTATGTTAGGAGAAAATGCATTTGAATTGTTTAGCTTATTTAACTTAGTGCTAAAGTAACATATTTTTTGTTTTTGATTTTTTGTTAGTAATCTATATACAAGTTAAAGGTATATATTTTGTATTTTGACAATTTTAGTATACCAAGTAAATAATCTAAACTTAAGGTAAAATCCTAATAGATCTAATTTAATTAACTAAATTAAACTAATTTTAAGACATTGACTAAATAAAACTAACAAAATTTAGCTTAATTAAATACACCACCAAATTGAATAGAACCCCAAAGCAAATAACACATTATCATTATTATTATGTTGTTGTTAACCTAAAATCTATATGACAATGGATTAAATATAAATAATAACAAAATAAAAACAACATAACGATTTACATGAAATCCACGTGACAGTTGCAGAATATACCAACCATAGACTTTTCAATCTATCTCTCTTTTTCAAAATTTATTTTAATTAAGCCCTCCGACCAATCATAAAGCAACACGCGTCTACCTTTATAGCAATTGAAAAAAATAAACAAAACCAACATTATAACATTCTCTTTCTCTCTCTCTTAACAAAATCAAATCCGGAAAATTAAATCCTTTCAAATTTCTACCTTCCCAAATCTACACCCAATAAAATATGAATCTGAAACACAAATAGAAGAACAAGGGTTTATCGGATCAAAAACAGCGACGTTGGCGGGTGGTTGTGGATTTTGTCATAGGCGGAGACGAAGATCCCGAGACGGCACGGTGGCCAATCGGTTGGGTCTGGGTTACGACTGATCGTGGGTTTGTTGATGAACTTTTCCGAAGAACACAGTAGGCGTCGGGTTACGGGATTCGTCAGGATTGTTTCCACAATTCGTTCTATCTCTTTTTTTTTTTTTTTTCGATCCAAAAAAGATTTTGAACTTTGTCGTTAACTTTTGGTTTTGAATTTGGTTAGTTTGTGTGTTTGATGAAAGTGGTGTTTGGTCATCACCACGGGGTGGTTTCGCGTCGGTTGAGCGAGACTGGGACGGCGCAGTGGCCAACTGATGTTGAGATACAGAGATGAGGGTTTTGAGATCTGGTGCGGCGCGACGACCGACTGATGTTGTGGTTCGATGGTGCAGCCGTGATGGTGGGTTCTGATCGGTATTTGAAGAGTACTTGATTGCGGAGAAATCGTCGAGGAAAACCCGTGGATCCAACTTTCACCTTCTTTGTGATTCAGTTTTATTATTTGTTATAGATAATTTGAGTGCATTCTTTATATTTTGGATTAGCAATTCAGTTCTTTGGATTCACTCCTGCCAGCAATGATGTCAATGAATTTTTCCGCTACTATAAATGCTAGAGTAAATTAGGAGATATACACAAACAAGAATAAAAATAAGACTGAATAATTTCTTCTAGGGTTTCCAAAGATACTAATGCCTTAAATACAAGATGAGATTCTAATGGATCAACAAGATGGGCCTAGCCCGAAAAGTCAGAATTTAAATAACATAATAACTGCTATAACAATCCTATTTTATTTTAACATATAATCTTTCATCCAATTGGGCTTGTTTTTACTTCTTATGGGCCTGCTAACACTACTATCCGGTCCAGAAGAACCCTTATCCTCAAGGGTAGGTTCAATAACAACATGTTTTAGGTTAAAAGTCTGAGCCCATTTTGAAGGCCCATTGTTGGAATTGAGATGCGCATGCGGGAGAGTTATTGGACTGTGAGTGTGGGACCGTGACAACACATTGGGAGGATAAGTGTGGGAAACAGGCTGACCATTAAGTTGAGTGTCACACGCTTTGTCCTTGGAACTCAACACATTATCAATTAAAACACGTTGCCAATAGTAGAAGTACACCCAGAATCTTGTAACTCGTTTTGTTCACCACATGCAATACTTTGAGAAGAAACTTCAGAGCTTCCACCGCTCTCTCTCGTTGGTGGTTCAGTAAATGTTTTTGCAAAAAAAACACGATTCAGTGAAGCCACATCGTTACCTGCCTCTATTGTTGTAGCTGCTGAAGTGTTTGAAGCCGCGCCTTCATATGATGAAGCAAAATCCGAATCTGGTGAATTCTTAATTATGAGTACCATTGTTTGATGAAGATCTGTGGAAAAAGAAATTGATTTATCTTTGAACGCATGTATTGCATGAAGATCTGGTGGAAGAGAATGAAAAGGAGCCGTTGGATGTGTCCCGTGATAAGATTTCAACTACGAAACATGGATGACATAATGAATATTTGAGGAGGATGAAAGCTCAAGGTCGTAGACGACTGGTCTGATACGACGACGGATCCTGAAGGGGCCAAAGTAGCGTGGAGATTGTTTCTGGGAACTGCGCTGGTGGACTGAAGTTTGATGATACGATTTAAGACGAAGGAGAACAAGATCGCCAACCTTGAAGGTACAATCCACCCTTTTCTTGTTACTTTGTTCTGTCTTTTTTTCCTTGTGAGTTCAAGATTTTATTTTAATGTTTGAAGGATTTCCTGTCTTTCTTGCAAGGTTGAGTCCAGATCTGGTATGGATGTGAAGCCCTGGGTATACTGAGGAAAAATTGGTGGTGGTCTACTGTGATACGATGGGAGAACTGATTTGAGGTTTTACGTTTGTGTTCGCAAATGTTTCGGTTTAGCAAGAGTCGCCACCGACTTTTTATTTTATCCAAAGGAAAGGTCAAAAAGCACAGGAAAGACCTTTGAGATGTTTTCTTGGGTTCGGGGGGTAGATTATGAAAAGGGAAGGTGCTAGCACCCTTTTCATCCATGGTTTTCTATGGGCTCTTAGTTACTTGTTTAGATCACTTGCTTTTGCTTTTCAATTGTTTGAAATGGTGCTTTTGGATGTGGTTTTGAAAGTATTTTGAAAAGAGGCCCTTGTCTAGGCAACCTTTGTAATGATTCTTGTTTGAATGTATACAAAGGTGTTTGTCTTTTGAAAAATGTTTCAATATTTGAAAGTTTGTTTTGGGAAATGTTTTAAAATTGTGTTGTGTGTTTTTGAAATTAGCAAGGATGGTTTTGCAAGTTGATCAAGTAACTAGGAGTTGTCTACCCTACTCAAAGATCTTTCCTACACATTTTTAACCCTTTGACATTGTTATTTTACCATTGTATTTGGTAAACAACCTTGTCTTTGGATGTTAAACGGGATGGGCGTGGGTCATCGTATGACCATGATAGCAATTGTGCTAAGTATCTTATCAAGCTTTTTTGAGGGACTAGATCATTTTTGTTTAGGCAACCAAGATAGCGTCATCGAGGGACTATGATCTTTTTGTTTTGATTTTGATTTGCCAAGATACCTATCATGCATACCATGGCCATGTTTTTAAGGCAACAAGTGGGTGAAACCCTAAGGATGCCTGTGTGTATTGTGTTGTCATTTTTCATGCATTTTTGTCTTGTTTTTAGTCATGCTATTTGTTTTGATTTTGGTCTTTGCATACAAAACCCTAATTTACTATCATGACACTTGAAAGCAATAAAATGCGTAAAAGTAAATCTAAGACTATTACAACATTATTATGGGGAGGGGGATACAAGTTTGAATAGGGGGATATTTGCATAAAATAAAAACCCTAAAGCTATTACAACAATATTGAATTTAATTTAGAAATAAATAAATGGACAATTATTTAAATGTGCAATTAAATATGCAAAAATGTTTTTGTATTATTTTTATGTATGTAAAAATAACTTTATTTAATGTCCTAAAAATAAGGGAAAATAAAAAAATTATTATTTTTGGAAAGGGTGGAAACCCTAGTTTTTGGTTTAAAAAGGAAATGCATTATATTATTTATTTATTCATTTTTATGTACAAGAAAATAAATCTAAATATATACAAAAACGTTAAAAATTAAATTATGTGAGAAAATATTATTTTAAGGGTATAATATAATAAAATAAAATATGTAAGTATTTTTATATTATTTACAAGTTTTAATTAAGAAAATAAAGTAATATTAATCTAATAATTATTTTTTATGTAAATAAAAATAAAATAAAAAATATGATAAAATGCCAAAAATAAAGAAAATATTTTTTGTGATTTTAAATGTTCAAGAAAAAATAATAAAGCCAGAAAATTAAAAAAGAAATGTAAAAATATGCAAAAATAAAGAAATGGGCCAAGGGGTGCAGAAAGCAAGCATGGGGGTGTCAAAAGTAGAAGGCCCAAGGCGCCCAGGTCCAAGGCAACTTCATCCCTGTCCTTCAGGAAAACGCGCGCGCCTGCGACTTCAACCTGTTCTCTCTTGTTCTTGCATGAAATCAAAAACTCACAACATGAAATTTATAGAGCATTAAACCATGATTCTAACCATATAAAAAACTTGATCTAACTTTAAGAAACCAGGGAGAATTTTATCACCCCCAATTTCTGACCTAAAAAATTCAGCAACTTCAACATCCAAATTCTCCTAGCTTAGCTAACATAAATGAATTCTATGCATATGTACAGTTCAAGGACATTAAGGGCTACATTTTTGCTTCACAAACCTAAGCCTAATGATTCCTAAATAAGGAGATAGAAGTTTGAAAATTACCTGTTTCAGTCAAGCTCGAGTATGGAAATGTAGCAACTTTTAGTGAGGCCTGAAGGACTTTTGAGCTTGCTTGATGTTCCCTTGACCTTTCCCAATGCTTAGCTTACTTTGAAATGATTTGAATCTCCCTATAGAACTCAACTTGCAAACTCAGAATTTGAAAATGGTGAAGTGTGAAAATGGAGTTACAGTGGCTGGACAGGTGCTTGGATAGTTTAGGTGTATTGTTTAGAAAGTGTTTGAAGTGGTTTGGGACAAAACGCATGAGGCAATGTGAAGATGGCTTGAGTTCTGCAGGGCTTGCCCTGTTTTGGACAGAAAATGGAGTTTTTGTGTATTTGGGTGTTTGAGAACTTATGGAATCGTGTTCTAGGCTTGGTGTGATATGCTGAAGTTGTTTGAAATGAACACAAAGCTTAGTCTTATCAGATTCACAAGATATGTAGACTTTTGCAAGTTACTTGCTTTTGAAGCAAAGGTTGATTTTGACAATGCCAAGGCCTGTACAGGCCCGCTTCTTAGCTGCACATAGTTGGTGTACTTTTCCCCAAGTTTGTGGACTTTGTTTGCTGTAAAAGATTGGGTTCTTGGCTCAAGATAAACAAAGTTGCTAAAAGTAACCTTTATCAAAATAGCATTGTTATCTTTTTGCCATTTTTGGAATAGTTCTTTGTACAATGCTCTAAAGCTCAGAACAAAGCCTTAATCCAATGTGTTTGCATTTAATTTATGAGTGTATAAAGGATTAGAAACTGTAAACCAAGTACAAGCATGATCCAAACTGATTTGCAACTTGTATCAATGTGCAAAATGCCTTGGCCAAAAGTGATAATTTTCCATTTTCAAACTTTTGATTCTCCCTAACCACAAATGATCTTGGAGAGTTCTCTGACATTTTGGAAAGCTTGTAGCATACTCTACAATCAATATTTGAAATTCATTTTGAGATTCCACTTGGAACTAGGTGAAAAGTTGCCATGAAGATAGGTCAAAATCCTGCCTAAACTAGGGCAAAATTTCACTAAGTTAGAAAGTTTTTGGACCCCTATTCACAAAATCATAACTTGAGATCCAAGCATCTTTTGGGAAAACTTTGTGAATCAGAGTTGTAGATTTTGTGGAGGAATACAACTTTCATGTTGGAAGTTTTCTTTGAATCCAATTTCATCATGGTGAAAAAGTAGGGAAAAGTTGGGGAAAAAAAAGAAATTTTCATAACTTAGAAAATTTCTAAGTTATGAAAATTTTCCATTTTAAACCCTAATTTTCAAAATTAGGTTTTTTGGTGAACAAGTTTCATGTTTTGACACATCTTGATGAAAAATGACCCTTGGCACTTGATTTTGACCAAAAAGTCAAAGTTTGATTTTTCAGTGTACAGTTGATTTTTGATCAGTTGGCTGGAAAATTCATCTATCAATCCAATGCTTTTGAGATATTTTGAACCTTGTGATTATGTCAAGATGATGACATTGAGTCCTTGAAGCTATGCTTGAACCCAATTTGCCATTGTCTAGGTGAAAAATCAGAAATTACCCTTCTACAGTCAAAACCCTAAAAATGACCATTTTTCCCTTTTGATGATCTGATCAAATTTCTTGAGGAGTTATGGTCCAAACTTGATCAAATGGTTCATATGAGTCTATAATTTTGATGTGGATAAAAAATTATGAGGTTTGACTGTAAATTGGCTACCGTTGACTTTTTCCCTAATACAGTTGATTTTTAGGTCAACTGTCCAATTGACTGGGCAAAAATTTGATTCAAGGCTTGAAACTTGGTATGGGAAATCTTAGAGGTCCAACATGAAGTATGAAAGTCACATGAGGTATTGGAAGTCCAAAAATCCTTGTGCAAACTCAAACCCTAATTTCAGGTCAACAATGCAAGGAGAGGTCTTGAGCAGAGCAAACCCTAATTCTGATCTTGAGTCCAAGAGTCTTGTGAAGAAAATCTTGATAAAATGAGAGGGAAAATTTTAGGGTACAACAGCTGCCCCTGTTCAATATTCTTGAACTTGAAGAGTTAGATTGGCGAGTTTTTCGTTCGTGACTCGAAGGTAAAAGATGATTGAACACTAGAGTGCCCGTAAATTTGCACTCGTCAATATATAGTTGAGGGAATGGGCTTAAGGATGCCATTTGGAGATGTGACAGAATCTTGTCAGAGATGGGCTTAAAGATGCCATCCAGGAATGTTTGTTGAAAATCAGGAGAATGAACATCAGAATGGTATCCGTATCTGGAACGTATCTGAGTTGTATCTAGAGATTGGATCTGTATGAGAAAGGGAATATCATCCGTGTCTGGAGCGTATCCGAGCTGTAACTGTATTTGAATTTGAATGAATAACAGAATGACTGCCGTGTCTGGAGTGTATTTGTATTGTATCTGAGTCTGAATAAGCGACAAAATAGCATCCGTGTCCGGAGCATCTCTGGGCTGGGAAAAAGTCAGAATAAGTGACAGAATGGCAACCGTGTATGGAGCGTATCTGGACTGTATCTGAAGTTGAGATCTGTATAAGTAGCAGAATGACTTCC